ATTGTTAGTTTCGTAATTGACAACTCCGTCCGAACGAGGGCAAGCTGCGCGCAATAACCGAGTACCCGCAGCCACACAACGTCAAAAGCTTGCAACGCTGCTTAGGATTGACTGCATTTTATCGCCAATTTATCTCACACTGCGCCCTTTCTAAGGAAATCTTTAACTCAGGACCGCTTTTACCCACTTATTTCTCCGGAAAGTCTCGTAAATACACGTCTGCAGATGAAACAAACACTTCGTCAGCGTACTTTGAACCTAAGAGAGTTTTGCTGAAAGCGAATGCTTCGTTTCCAGGCCACCATTTCCTGGACAGCGGAGCAACTTCAAACGGGTGTATTACGCTTCTGGTCGGAGCTTCAAGGCTTGACTTGTTACCGACTATAGGACGTCTTACCATGGACGGGCGTCGTGTTGTTTGGAAAGTCACCGACGTCACGCCAGCCTGCCCCGTTGCGATTTGTTGGTGCTTCGCGGTTTTACGAAAGCGGTTGGGAGGAATCGGCCCGGTAGCGACAGGTAAATCCACGCGATTCCAGCCGCTTTGTGGTCAAAAACGCGCGTTCAGACTGGAAGCCGATGACCGCCTCTAGTGTGAACGGGCCATTAGTCCCGCACTCTTTTTTATTCCGGGAATATTCATGCGCCAGCAGCAGAAATTCCAGATCCTGAACCTACAGAGCGAGTCACCACGTGCCTATTTCGCTTGACGGGGGTCGCCATATTTCGCTCTGCGGGTTACCGGTCCTCACTTCTATTGACGTGTCAGATTATTTTTTTTTAAGTTTGCAATATTTAAGCTTGTGATAAATTCTACTTCCAGACAATTGAAGTTTCTTAACACCAAGGCGGTGTGGAGCTTAATTTACGTGTGAAGAATATTATACATACACTAAAGGTGGAAAGGAGTTTGAATGACACTTACCATGCTCAAGAAAACGAAAATCCATTGGAAGAACCCCAACTGAAGACGCAAAGAAGACAAAGTCAGAAGTTGCGGCGGTAAGGAGGAGCACTGCGTGTGTAAAAGCTTTCGAAATAAAGAAAAAAATATATATAATGTTTAGAAACACCGGCTACACAGTTTGAAAAAAATGAACAACACGATTGCACACGATCTAAGGAAAAGGAGTTTATAAAGTGCAATGGGTGTTCACGGAAACATAAACATTGCGTGCTTCACACCAAACAAAACAAATATACGCATCGTCGGACACTATGTCTGCACTGGCCACCCCAAATAGAGTTTCAGCAACTAAAACCAGATGCCAACGTTTAAGTATTTTCCGTCATTTGACTGAAAATTTATACACGATTTTTGAACATTTAAATAAGAAAATGACGAAAAACGGGCCCTACTTAAAGATAGAAATAAATATTGTCTGCTACCAAAAGCTATTTTTATTTTCTTACTGAGAATGGTACCGATTGAAGGAATGATCTAGTTTGAGCCTGTATCTTTGATATTGATCGAAAATGTGCTTGCGAACATTTAACACTGAGATGCCTGCAGTAAACTTATTGTGCTATTCGTGCTCGAATCTCTCGTAGTTGTAATTGTGAAAAGTTAGACTGCTTATTGAAGCATAAATTGATTTCTAACGAAACAGCACCATCACAAAATTCAGTCCGTCCCCGTGTTCGTGTATTTTCTACTACATTTAGCGGGAGAATCAATGCCCCATGACCTGACATCAGGAGATCAATTTCCCACTAAGCTTAGCGGGAAAATTGACGTCACGCGACTTTTCTACTCAGCTTGCTTTTTTTCATTTAGCGTTAAAGTTTATATAAATAAAGGTTGTTTGCTCCCTGAAACGACCGTATAATGCCCTCTAAACAAATTTAAACGATCTCTCTTCAAATTCTGCATTTTATGCAATCTATGACTTTGGAGGTAAGGGAAGATGTTAATGTTTATATTTACTGTTTAAAGCACTTTTTATGGCGTAATGTTTTCTAAATGTCCAAGACAAGCTTCGATAACGATATCCAATAAAAATTTGCCGTGTTCGTAAAGGCAAAAACGAAGTATCAGATCTTGGTATGCGAAAGCAAAAGGAGACAAGAGACACACAAAAACACGTCAGACATGAACCGCGTTCAACTCCATCAAGTTCATTCCCTCTTCCGGCGTGAATAGCCCGCGTGATTATTAGTTTGTTTGTTTGTTTTATTTCGGACACAGGGTCACATGGAGAAAGGACAAAAGGCAGATGAGCTCTGCCTGACGAGGCCCAGTCCCCTCAGTACACTGCATCAGCAGTCAATGGAAAAAAACAAATACGAAACTTCGGGGAAAAAAGAACAAAACAACATTGGGAAGAAACAGCAGTGTAATATCATGGATACCATTACCTTCACAAGGATGAAAATTACACGTCATATTTTATACAGTAGCTAAAATAGACCTGTTAATAATACTATAGACAGTGTATGTAAAGACAAATTGACGTTCAAATTTATTCCAAACAACAGGCCAGAAGATACCTCTTTAAATCGTATTTGAAACTTTTGAAACGTCTAAAACGAGGAGGGTACCCCGATCGCTTCTTGGTGGAAGTAGCGGATAACCTTGTTTCCAAGATGAAAAGAAAAGATGACGATCATATTCCTTCCAGACAACTAACAAGACCAGCGGTGATTCCTTATATTCATAACCTTTCGCACAATCTAAAAAAAGTGGCGGCTCATTTTGAAGTGCCAGTGGTGTTTTCAGCGCCGCATAAGCTGTCTCACTTGTGTTCAAAAATAAACAACAAAAAGGGAGAGGGTAAGGTGTGTCAAAAGAACACGCTAATCAATACGTGGAGTGTGCAACGTCAGTGGTGTATAACATACCATTGAGTTGCGGGAAATCGTATGTCGGCCAAACGGGGCGTTGCATAAATGAAAGGGCCAGAGAACATGCCTGGTCAGTCAAACAGTCCCCGTCGGGCAATCTTGCGGTGCATTGTGATAGGTGCCCATGTAGCCCGGAATTGGAAAAAACAACAGTTCTGGGCAGATACGAAAACAAAACAGCGCGAGAAATACACGAGGCATTCCGCATAAGAGAGCAAGGGGTGAGTCTGTGTATTAGTGCGCCGTCACTGCACTTAACTGATAAAGAGTTTTTCTTTTTGAGCCAACACCCTGAGAGACGGTATTAATAGTCAATGTTGTTTTCAATAAACCTTCAGTTGTGAGTGCGCTTCGTCTCTGTCCCCTTCTTGGTCCTTGTTTATTCGGCGCTTTCCATTCAATGATGTACCAACTAGCCCATTTATCTATTTTACTACAGTTCATTTCTTCTGCAACGGGCCCTTTTTTGTTTCCTAACAATAATCCGTCCTCGGGTGTTTCGTATGCCACCCTTATTGCCGCTACCACTTGCCGGGCTCGACATTATTCCTACGCCATCCGCACGGGAAGCTATCCTCCGGACGTCCTGGCCCTCTTCGGGGGCGTTTTGCCCTCGGCCGGACATGCAAAAAGGATCTGCAAAATCCTGAGATCTGAAGCCTGGAAGCAAGTGGGCAGGTACCGAGACAGCTTAAGGATTTGGTGTTATCAATCAAGTCCCACTGCAAGGACAGCTGAGAAGGTGTACGGGGAAAATCTGAAACTGGCGTCCCAAACCTTGGAGTTCATGTGGGAGAAGCTGTTGGTCTCTTTGCCAAGGAAGAAGAAAGCAAGTGCTCCGTTACCCAACCAAGTCCTTTTCCTGGGAGGAGCGCAAGCGCCCAAGGAGGTCACCGAGATCTTGTAACTTGGACCGAAGTTCAGCATCCAGCCCACTCCTAAACCCATTGAGAAACTCTGCCTGGCGAGAACCCTCGCTGACCGAGTCATTCCGGAAGAAAGGGAGCGATGCATTTCAGAGGCCGTCGACGTCATCAGAAGTAAGCCGAACAACAGGAGAGAGACGATAAGGACACGCAACGTGGTGACATACTTCAGGGAGAGCCAACTCAAGCTTCTGACTGCGGACAAGGAGGGAGGTTTCGTGGTTCTGCCTGAAGGGCTCTTCGGTGAAAAGTCCCACGCCGCCATCCTCAAGAACTTCAGGCAAGTGAACAAGATTTCCCTCAGCAAAGTCAAGACGTCTGCCAGGGATCTGTGTGACAGGCTGCAGCTGAGCCAGCTCGCGAAGAAGATACAAGCCGCCAAAAAACTCAGTCTGGATGTGTTCTTTAATGTCAAGACCCACAAAGTAAACTTTCCGTTTAGAGCGATCGTAACGGAAAGGGATACGTGGCAAAAAGAAGTCGGGGGCTTCCTTAGCAGGCAGTTGGCCGGCCTTGAATTGAGGGACCCATTCCTGGTGCGGAACTCGGAGGCTGTCATAGAATTTTTGGCGAAGGGCGACCAGTCCTACGGTGGAGGCTTTTCTATTGACGTGGAGGACCTTTTCTATTCCATCCCGCATGATAAGCTGTTCCCAGCGGTAAAAAACTGCATTGAAGAAAACGATGAAATATGCTTTAGAAATTCGAGCGGAGTAAGTGTGGAATCTTTTTTAGAGTTACTAGAATGCTATCTTACCTCAACCTTTACGTCCTTTGGGGATGGCGTTTATGTTCAAAAGCGAGGCATATGTATCGGTTCCCGTGTTGCACCAGTGCTTTGCGATATATTTTTGGCTGGATGTGATAAGAGAATATGCAATGATATTGAAAAAATGGGGAAGTTCACAATCTGTCGGTATGTCGATGATTTCTTGGTGCTTGCCCCTAAGTCCGTTACTGTTACCATGGACTTAATCAGCGATGTGTTGGATTGTTTTAACTTGAATTCACACGGATTGACGTTCACCCATGAAACTATGACGAGGGGAAGGCTTCAGTTTTTGGATTTGAGCCTCAACTTCGAAGGTGACCATGTTTGTTGGAAATATGAGCCGCGAACTAAGAAAGGGGTTCTGCCCTTCAATTCTGCGCAATCAAAACTCGTTAAAAGGGGAACAGCATCGTGCCTAATGAGAGCCTCCCTTGCAAAATCATGCCACCATGTCGCGGATGAAAGCTTCCTCACGCAGGTGAATCGTCTAAAACGAGGAGGGTACCCCGATCGCTTCTTGGTGGAAGTAGCGGATAACCTTGTTTCCAAGATGAAAAGAAAAGATGACGATCATATTCCTTCCAGACAACTAACAAGACCGGCGGTGATTCCTTATATTCATAACCCTTCGCACAATCTAAAAAAAGTGGCGGCTCATTTTGAAGTGCCAGTGGTGTTTTCAGCGCCGCATAAGCTGTCTCACTTGTGTTCAAAAATAAACAACAAAAAGGGAGAGGGTAAGGTGTGTCAAAAGAAACACGCTAATCAATACGTGGAGTGTGCAACGTCAGTGGTGTATAACATACCATTGAGTTGCGGGAAATCGTATGTCGGCCAAACGGGGCGTTGCATAAATGAAAGGGCCAGAGAACATGCCTGGTCAGTCAAACAGTCCCCGTCGGGCAATCTTGCGGTGCATTGTGATAGGTGCCCATGTAGCCCGGAATTGGAAAAAACAACAGTTCTGGGCAGATACGAAAACAAAACAGCGCGAGAAATACACGAGGCATTCCGCATAAGAGAGCAAGGGGTGAGTCTGTGTATTAGTGCGCCGTCACTGCACTTAACTGATAAAGAGTTTTTCTTTTTGAGCCAACACCCTGAGAGACGGTATTAATAGTCAATGTTGTTTTCAATAAACCTTCAGTTGTGAGTGCGCTTCGTCTCTGTCCCCTTCTTGGTCCTTGTTTATTCGGCGCTTTCCATTCAATCAATTGAAACTCCCACGTGAAGCAGTATTTCGTATTATTCCCATAACATCTCGATGCTTGTTTAAGAATTGAGGTATCATGTATTCTAGTTTCTGGTTCCCATAGGTTGTTCTTAACCAAGGTATCCTATGGGATTCATGCCTTAAATAATATTCGTTTCGTCGTTTAGTATGCAAATTGAAAGTGTTAGATGGAGCATTTGGTTAACGTTAAGCAAATTGTGCTTTAAAAAGTACGGGGCTGTATGGTTCATGAAATTTAGATTATCTATGCAGCGTATTGCCTTTTTTGCATGATACAAAGCCTCTCGAGGTTTGCCCTAGTTGTCGATCCCCAGACTAATAAACAGTAATTAAGATGAGAATGCACTAAAAAGTAATACAATTGCAGTTTTAACCAATTTGGCATCAAAGATCTAACTTTGTATAAGATGCCAATGGATCGAGAGATGTTCCTGTGAATTTTATTTATATGGGCGGGTCCATGATAAGTTTTCTTCAAAAAGAACACCTAAAAATTTATAAATGGAGACTTGTTCAATTACACTGTTTTGGAACTTTAAGATAATATTAGTCATCAAGTTTATTTCGTGGCTTGAAAATTACATATTTGGTGGTTGCTCACGTTTAATTGTAGCTGATTTGATCCTAGCGAGGAACACAGCTCCCTTAGCCACATGTTAGCCGCAGTTTCAAGGTCCCGCAAATGATTACCAGAAAAGAACAAGGTCGTATCGTCCGCATATAAAATTATATCCGGATTTGTGGGATGTTTACAATGTCATTTATATAGATAATACAGAACAATGGTTCCAGAATAGACCTCTGAGGAACCCCATAGTGATTAGTTCACGCATTGATCGGTAGCCATTTATACAAGTATACTGCATTCTACAGATCAGTTCTAGCGCCACACCTCAGATTCCATAAAAAGGAAGTTTGTGAAACAGGAAACAGGAACAGGAAACAGGATGACAGCGCCCCTGCCGGCACCAGCCCATGCTCTTCCCTCTGCCCTCCGACCGATGCTCATTATCTCCCTCTCGAGAAACCTTCCTCCTTTCTGCTCAAATTAAGAGATTTGTGACTCGCATTACCGTCGCTCCTCTGTATGAGGAATACCGCGACCACTTCCCGTCCCAACTGGCAAGGTACTTTTTGATAGCCGGCGCATCGTTAAAGATGGGCTTGCATCTCTCGCAGCTATGCATGTGCGGTTTTAGGGGTGGATCTCTTGTTACTGAAAGCTTATATTTGTGTTCTTTTGATCTATCGGTTAGACAACGCCCTGTCTGCCCAATGTAAGCCCTGCCGGAATACAGTGGAATTCAGCATACTACCTTCTCTTCACATTTGGGAAATTTTCCTTTGTGTTTGTTTTCGCATTAACTTTAATGTATAATTTTCGAATCTTTGTTCTTACACGTAAAAAGTGTTTTTAAATCATCTGAGGAACGTTTCTTGATGTGGTGAGGGAACCCGCGAGTATACGGAACGGTAAGAAGTCTCTTGGGTTCTTTCTGTTTCCTTTGCACTTTTCTTGTTTGCCAATAGCGGAGAGACCACCGTTTTTGCTAAATATGTGGGGTTCCGTGCGATCCCTAGTCGCAGGGCTTGGTTTTGTGGGGATTTCGGACACTGAGAACTTCGGCGACGATGCGGACGGCGCGCGAGAAACGAGCGCGGGGCCAAAGCACGGGGCGCGAGGCGCGTGACGGGGAGACAGGACAGTTCAGGCATGGTGGCGCAAGCCACCGAACACCGGGCTCGAAGAATGAACATGTCTTCATCATGACTTGGCCCCTTCCTCCGGACAAGCGGTGAGCGAGAATGCCACTGTCCTTAAGGCTGTCCTACCCATAGTGAAGACATAACTTTAACAGTGATGATGAGATGACCGACTTAATAATTCCATGTTTAACGGTCTTTGAATTCGAGCTTTTAAACGGAAGTAAAGGTGTATTAGTTCTCTGCTCGTAGATCCAGCATTTCTCTGGTTTTTGTTTTGGCTTTTGATCTTTAGATCTGTAAACTGTAGTCATTCTTCGTTTCCTGTGCCATCAGTGAATTCTAATCTGAACGAATGCCTCTGAAAACATTATGTTACGTTTTTTTTTATTTATTTCTTTATGCATTTCATTTGTGTGCATTACGAGGTAATCATCTACAAAGTGAAACATATATAGGTCTCGTTTAAACACACAAAAGGGCATGAATTCGTGGAGACGGGATCATTTAGGTTCTTTGAATTAGCATGGGAAATGTTTTTAAAAACACAACTACCACCCCCCAAGAAAGGAGGTGACATTGGAAAACCTCAAGGGCCTGGTTTTCTCAACTTATCCAACCAGCATCTGACACCCCATACTGCGACAGTTCTCACCAAGGACCGAAGTTCAACCCAGCCGTTGTACTTTCTCGTGTCGACATGGTGATGACTATTCATCGAGCGTTAATCATGGTGCCAGAGACCCAGCGGGACCGATTCGTGACCTCAGAGGTGCGCTCAAGTTGGAAGGAGGGACTTGTGATGCAAAAGCACAGGAGCCACCTCAATGCTATTCGTAAGCTAAACACCTTTGATCTGCGCTTACTGAAATCAGACAAGGAAGGAGACTTTGTAGTGTTGAGGGATGGAACGTTTAATAAAGAATCATTAAGAGTGGTAAAGAAATATTTTTCTAAAAACGATCGAATTCCTTTCGAGAGATTAAGGAGAAGGTCGGCGAAGTAGTGGAAAAGAACCAATTGGAGTCTTCTTGTGCATTTATAAGAAAGGAAAGGAATAACCATCTAGAGGTGCTTTTCAAAATTAAAAACACATAAGCCAGAGAAGCAGTTCAGGTGCATAGTACCCGAAGTAGGGACGTGGCAGAGGCGCTAGGTACATTCGTTAAAAACAAATAAACCCTCTCAACATTTCTCATTCCTTCAGAATCCTAGATTCTAGAGCACTGGTCCTCAACCACTGATGTTTCGCGGACCCCTTTCGGATTCTCGGAGATGATGGGGGGTGACGGGAAGGAAAAGGTATAGAGAAATTATGATAATTATTTAATAAATCAGTGTAACTAAGAGCTAGACTCCTCTCATTGACATACACACGAGAAAACTTACTCTAAACTTGAAACATTTCTTGTCAATCTAAAAAAAACATACATAGCTTTTATTGCCGGTATTGACTAATAAGGGCTTCGCGGACCCCGAGAATGACTTCGCGGAGCCCAAAAGGTCCGCGGAACTCCATTTGAGGACCACGGCTTTAGAGATTGCTTGGAGACTTTGGGCAGGGTTCACCACAAACGGATGGCAGTGTTCTCACCCAACACCAAAAAGTTGTCTGTCTTTTCTGACACGAAAACTATGACTCAAAAAGTTGAATCTGCGATCATTGGGCAGACTTGAAAAAATTCAGAATGACGCAAGGATAAGCCTTAGAGTGTTTCTACAGCTACTCAAGTTGTACCTTCGGTCGCTACTCGCAGAGTTTCAAGGGAATGTCTACAATCAAACAAACGGAATGTGCATTGGGTCCGCTGTGCCTCCTCTTCTGAGCGAGCTTTATATGAGCGCCGTGGATGTCGCAGTCAATTCAGAGATGACTCGCTGGTTGACTTCCGGAGACCTATATATTTCGCTTCGTAGATGATTACTTAGTAATGCACACAAACGAAATTTAAAAAAAAACAACGTAACATCATGGTTTCAGAGGCATTCTTTGAGATAACACTTCACTGAGGATATAGGAAACGAAGAAGGACAACAAATCCTAGATCCAAAAATAAAAACAAAAGAAACAGAGCCATGCTGGATGTACGAGCAGAGAACATATAAACATTTACTTCCTTTAAAATGTCGATTTAAAGACAGCTAAAAAAGAATTAAGTCGGTCATCTCATCAACACTGATAAAGTCGTGTCCATCAATGGAGAAGACAGCATAAAGAACAAATCCGTGCGACCAGGGAGAGCACGGCACCCCACAGACCTAGCAAAAATGGCGGCCTCTGGGCTATTAGCAAAGAGGAAAAGTGATGAGAAAACAAAAAGACCCAAGAAATTTCTTACCATTTCGCACACTCACAGATTCTTTCACTACATCAAAAAACTGTTGTCAGATGATTCAACGCACCGTTCACGTGTCAGAACTAACTTTCAAAAATTGTACAAAAAGTTAACGGAGAAGATAGGCTAGAAAATAAATGCGAAAAGAAACACAAAGAAAAATTTGGCAAATGCGAAGAGAAGGTAGTATACTCGCTTCCACTGTCTTGTGGCGAAACGTGTGGTGCATTCGGGTGGTCGCCTCTTTCCTCTGACCTTGAATCAGCAAAGCGTCTCCCCCCCTTTCCTCGCCACCAGAGTTACTCGGGATCCTATTCAGCCCATCACAACTCCTGGGTTCAGAGCGCTCTGACATTCTCAGACCATCCACGGAAGTAAAACGTATTGACATTGGTACTGTATCAAAAGAAAAAAAAATCTTCCAGTGTACGGTGGACGATGGCGCAACATTTACACTTACAACGTGATGAAATAACGGTTGTGACCTAAATTATTCTGCGTAATAACATGTTAAAAAAAAAAAAACAGTATGCGAATTGATTTTTGAAGAAAGGGTCCAAAGCCAATGTTTGGAAAGAGTTGTCGACTCATCGCGTTTTCGATTCTGAACGCGCTGTGATAGCGGTCATGCGTACGGCAGAACAGGCAAATATGAAATGGTTAATAAACCGCATTTTTCTCTCGGGGGATATTGTGCAAGCAGGATTTAGCACATATCGCCATGTGACGCAACTCACGGTGCATTCTATTCGGCTCTCCTGTTATCTTAAGACATGAAGCTTTGAACACACTTTTACC